AATAGTCGAGGAGCAGTGCACCTAACAAATAGCTTAGCTTATTTATGAGCAAAAAATTTATTTTTATTTTTTAAATATAAACAATGTTTACATAATTATTATACTTAATATAAAATTCCAGCGATTTATCTATTTTTAGACATCTTTTAAGCAAGCTTGTGATGGAAATAGAGAGTTATGTTACAGAAAAAGAAATTTGAGTTCTTATTATATGTATCTAAATGAACAATAAACTACATTATATAACAAAATACATTTCAAACAGATAAAGTTACATATTGTGGGACTATTTAAATCATAATTTCACTACAACTAGAAGTGAACCAAGAAAACAAAAATAGAAACAAATTTAAACATAATTGGATTCAAACAAATTTAAAAAAAAAAGAAAAAATAAGTAGGTTGTACAACTTTTAAATTTTGGTGATCTACAACATACTAATGACCTTTTTTTGTGTGTGTAGGATTATGGTAGCTATAAATATTAATAATATTATACATCTGGCGTGTGGAATGTGTACTTAATTTTAAACTACAATTGTGTTTTGACCAGATACTTACCATTGGATGATTCTATAGGTATAATATCTAATATCACTTATTATATCCTATGGATTTGTTAAACTAAAATCGCAATTGAATATACGAATCGCATTTTTTCAATGATTATCTAAACACGGCAATAAACGCTTATAGTTCTAAAATTTTAAAATAAATAAATACGTTTTATTTATTTGTCTGTGATTGGAATATCGGTCATCGAAAATTGAACTGAAATATTCACAACTTATATAAGTTTTTTATTTTTCAAATAAACTAGCTGATCTCGTGCACTTTGTTGCCCGTTAAAAATTCTATAATTCAATGACTCTAGCTTGTGATCAGTGTATTATCAGGTAGGTAATCCACCTTCGGTGCACCCTTCTTAGTGCTTAAATTGTATATGAATAATATGTTTTATTTTGATTTTGATTGCCGACACCCCGATGAGTGAATAAAAGTGCAATTCAGCCACCTTGGTTGGCAATGTGTGAAAATTCAATTTAATGCATGCTTATATTTAACCTAACCTGTCCGATTAACCAATGACAACCAAAGTAAACAAAAAAATACTTATTTCTTCTAAATATATTTATATTTCTCCTAGTGACTTATTATAGCAACCATTTTTAAACAAAAATTTCCTTCATAAATCTTAAAATCCCTGTCTGAGCACCTCCCCGAGTTGGACCACGAGGTCCAATTGTGAATCTAAATCATCCAGGGAACCACTCAAACCACACAAAAAATTTCCCCAAAATCGATCATTTTTTGTTTAGACAGAATACGGACACACAGGACAAACAAACAGACATTCATTTATATATATATAGATTCCGCGGTTTTCATATTTTAGTAATTGAAATCGAATTACGATTTAGGATTATTGTTGTCATTCGTGTAAATATTATATACCTAATTCCTACATTCCACGCCGTATCTATATAGTTTGTTATTGTATACACGTGATACCTACAAGTTTTGTAAACATATAAATTGTGCGAGTATCAATAAAGTTATAGGTAAAGCTTTTATTTTTTACATAGAAAAAGTTATAAGACAGCTAGGTAGGTCTGAAGTTTAAATTGTCATGGATCACGGGATTATGTAGGGAATATATAAATATATAATATTATTTATATGAGAAATAACAGTCAAAAAGATGATTGTGTTTAGTCGAGTGTTAATTGTTATATATCTACTTTTTTTAAAATTCAATTTTGTGTTATTGAAAATGTCGAGTCCCATTAAAAAAAAAAACAATATTACTTCATTAATAAGGAATATTATAAAATATTTACACATACCTATAATATATATTCTTATCAAACAATAAATGTAATATATCGACACCGTCGAGCGGCATAGTCAGACGATATCAGATGTTCTTGTTTTTGATGATTTTGTTGGCCGTCGTATCGCTGAAGCTGATCGACACACACACCGGAAGTCAAGACGTGCAAGCCACAGCTGTCATGTTTAATCTCGAGGACGAAGTTCCGAGGATATCGTGGACCTACACCGGACGGCTTGAAATGCTGTATCGGACGATAGTCGACGACGTTGGCGAAAAGGCACAGATATATTTTAGTCTGATTTTAGATCAGCTAATAAAATGTCCATCTCGGTCAACTGGCGTATGATGATCGCCACTGTAGAAGCTCCAGCCCTGGAGAGTAAAGTCATGTAAGCTAGGCTTAGACTAGGGTTGTGCTGCAACGGCCGTGCAACATTTTTAACACTGAAATTTGTTCACGAAGCTGAAAGATAATCAAGCAAGTGTTTTTTTTTCATAGTCGTTTAAGTCAGTTTTTAGAAAAATTTTAATAGGTATTTATTCTGAGTTAAGTACTTGCAACAGATTGAGTAGCAGTGACATCATTATATGGGTATTGAAGACCGGGCACCGTATACATAACAAACAACAACCTCAAGTCGACCGCTCGAATGAAGAACTTGTTTTTTTCCCTTAACGCGTTTCGTACTTTTTACATCTGACCCTGTGTCCCCTTAACTCGGACAATTAAAACCGTAACACACATCCGTTCCGCATACGAATGTGAATAACGACAGATTATCAATACACGTATGTAACTAAGCAAATATGTACATTGTACATACTGTTTTTGAAATGTCTTGTAATCATCGAGATAGATAAACAATACGTAATATTGTATTGGCGGTTCTTACTTAGTCGATTCTTCTCAAGAAAGTAGTAATGGTATTGGTTAATACTATTTATCTTTACGATATTTTCACCCATCACAATATTATGATAATATTATGAGAATGCAATGACACATAATAATATAATAATAGAATATATATTATACTCAGTTGTAGTCCTTTTAACTATTAATATTAGTAATTTATACTTAATTTTAAAGTCATTTTAACTATATTTTTTAGTTAATTCAAATATTAAAAATTGCAGTCACTTTAAAATATAGTTAGCATTACCATAACAAACTACTATATTTAAATACCTAATCATAATAATTAAATCATTTTAGTTATTTTATCTATAAAATATTTATATTTACTATATTTTGTTCAATTATAATTTTTTTTCTGTGTACGGTAAACTATTAACCAGTACCAACTTATTTTTTTTCTGTAAAGTATTAAATTATTTAATGTTTTATCTGTAGGTATTAATTAAAAATATTTTTAAGTTTTTCTATAAATATCGGTGAAAAAAATGATTCTTGGTAAAAATCTTTGACAATCTAATAATATAAATAATAATAATAATATTTAAAAAAAATAATAGTTAATAACTTTATTAAAGAAAATAAAGTCCAGTTGTATTATTCCAGTTACAGTAAATACAATTGTTTCTTAATTTAATTATATTACAAATTACAATATATATAAGCGTATGTAATTACATAATTAACTATAAAATATCAATATAACATTTAATTATAATGAATACCTATACAAAAAATACATGCTGTACAGTAACATAAGTAATATTAATTATTTTATACAATACAAATATAATATTAGGTTCAAGAACTAATTGCTAATGTGAGTATGTGACTATGCTTTTTTAATTCAATTTTTGAAAAAAGTCGAATACTCTTAAAATGAGTTATAGATTAAACCTGACAGTTTAATATTCTTTCTTAACATCATTGAAACATTTCACGGGGAGTTTAATTCATAACAAGTCCGTACATTTTTAAAGTACAATGTGAATTTCTATCTTTAGTTAATGGAGCTAATTTTAAAATTGACTCTTTCTAATGAATTGGGCAATTAGTTAATAGGCAATTATTTAATAGGTAATTTAAATAAAAAATGTTATTTATTCCTAGTAAATATTTTTCGTGATATGGGAATGGGAATATTGAAAAATCCTCCTCCCTCATCTGTAATTCCTAAATTTGAAATTCTATGAATGAAGCATTGGTAAGAGATTAAACGTTGTCAATTATTACGTAGGAGTATTGCACTACAATAATAGCAGGTTTGTTATAAGTTTAACGAAATTCAGTATAGATGAGTAAAATAACGATTTCTCATCAACTGATTTTCTTACTTTCTTGTACCTAATTCAAAAACGAATAACCGTATAGTTGGCACTAAGGTGAAATTTTTTCCAGATACTTATTTCATCATTTTCTATACATAGCATAATTGTAATAATATTTTGATTCTTTTTGAGCTATTTATAGACATTTTCCATCTTGACTTTGATTTTAGTTTTTTTTACACATCTATATCAATAAAAAATAATTCCAATCGGTCAAACAAACCAGTTTTAAATCTATCTATAACGATGAAAAATGTAAGCTCTCTAAAAAAAATTTAGTATATTATATAAGGTTCCATAACTGTGATATATGGAGTCTTGGTACTGTGTGTGATAGAAAATGATAAAAATAAACATTTGGTGTAAATGTGAAGTATGAAGTAGGTATATCTATGTATACCTATATTACAATAATATGTCAAACATTGATTGAGGATAAATAATTAATTTCAAATAATTTTTAATATTCAAATTTCATATACTTCCTTTAAGTTTAACTATCAAAAATAAGGCTATAAGGGTCCCTAAATAATGTCAAACCTACTCTAAGATTAAAATAAGTTAAAATTTGCTACGTTGTGCGTATTAGTTAGCTGGTACGCATACATCATCATTACAGTACTTAATAATAATAATTTATTTCACCAATAATCGTAATGATTAGTGATTACAATATTAGAATAAATAATAATAACAGTATTGGTTTACTCTTTACTCATTATAGCCATAGCTGTGATTTGAGTAGGAGTTATAAATAAAATATTTAACAGAAAAAATAATAATATAGATAGTTATGGATAGACCATAGATATTTTTAATCACATATTAACACAACAAAATATAATACAATAATTTATTAAAATATAGCAATTTATGTAAATTATTTTAAGTAAATAATAATTTGTATATTGTATGTATATATGCATTAATCATTTTATATATTATATATATATTAACACAATTTTATTATTATTGATGTAATCTGTAGAACATATCCATGGTTACGGAAATTGAAATAGGTAGAATTCAATGTTATTGTGTTCCACTATTGTATACTTGTATACATGTAATATATTACATAATACATTATATTATTTATACAATATAGTTAGGTACTTTGGTACTTATTTCAGCCAATTATAGGTTATCGATTACTGATTACTGATTATTATCATCATCATTAGTACGCACATGACATTTTTGTTCGTTCGTTCAGACGACGGACGCCAAAGCTTTACGCCTAGACTCAGTAATGTACGATATCCAGTACATGACGGAGAAAATGATAAAGCACAACGGGAACAGTGCCAACGAAACTTGGTCCAGCGTTCCCCTCGGCGAACCGCAATATAGTATGATATGTCTGGTGAGCAACTGGAATCGCAGCTTCCCGGTGGATGCAACCATCGCTGGTCCACTGTTCGTCGTCACTTTTTGCTGCTGCAATGTAGGGAGTTGAGCTTTTACAGTTTGAAGCACAATGAAAACAAACAGAAATTGTGGAACGTAATCATCAATATTTTTTTTATTTGGTCTTGCCATCGTTACTTCACGGCCCACATTATATAGTTCATTATAATATTGTAACCAGTGGCGTACGCAAGAATAGGATTTTAGGGTTCTACCCTCCCCCTGAAATATATCCCTTCTACAAAAAAATTGTTACAATACAATTGGTACCTAGGTATAAAAAATGAATTGCCTGCAATTTAAGTAGGATACATTTTATTATTAACATTTAAAAAATAGTGACACTACTGGGACACTACTGGGTCCTATAAAAATATTACATATATAATACTATATATATGTAGATACTGAGAAAAGTTTTTTTTGGTAAGCTGAGGTTATATAGGTTATGGGTGGGTAGTTTTACAGCAATCGCACCTACCGAATCGTCGTCTCCAGCCACATCACTTCCAGATGTTGCGTGAACTTTGTTGGAACCGAACAATGGTGGTTTGCTCGGAATGCCTCCACTGCCGTCTAGATCGCGTTTCTTATGCCTCCAATGTTTGTCGTATCGCATGCCGAATAGCACGATAAAGTACTCGACTAGCGCCAGGAACACGAACAGAGTGCATGATATTAGCCAGACTTCGATGCATTTCAGTTCCAGCGCGCTCGGCGAGTTGTTCCTGCGCAATGGCAGTGTAAAAACGTATAGTAAAACGACTTGCTGACAATATTATATATTCTAGGCATACATTGTCCGCCGTGTTTGTCTTTTCTGACTTGAAATATTTATAGAAATCAACCATTAGTACCTAACTGGCTCACTACCACATTTGTAGGCGCTATTATAAAAACTGTCATACAATGATTTTTGTTGTTTTCGGTTCAAGTAAATCAATAAAAATGTTATAAATTTGATTTATTATTGCCAGATCTTTGCGGCAAATTAATGTTTTCGAAACCCGTTTTTCAAAGATTTTAAACAAACACGACGAGACGCCAAAATATGGGGAGTCTAAGCAGGTTAGTGCAAAGCCTGCTACTATACTATTTACTATAAGTTTTAACGTCAAGAAATATGTATAGATCGGGGGAACCGGGGAACAACGGTTTACTTGTGCAAAAAAATTAATTTAAAAGCACGAAATGTACCTTTATTACGTGTACATACAATAGTCTTAATATGTTAACAGCTTACTAAACAGTAAATATATTAAAACGTTCATAATTTACGTTGTTAAACCACTAATAAAGCCATAAAGGTAATAAATAGCATTGTTTGCGATACTTTTGAATTTTGTTTTGGTCCCTCTTACCCCATTGTAAGGATAGTATAAATAAGATTATTTTATTTTATAAGACTGGATGAACCAATTACATAAGGTAGTGATATGGCATAAAATGAGAGCTTAACGGAACTATGGACTTGTTTATTAGAGAGAGAACGGAACCTGAGATATTGGCAATGTGTATAAAACAGATAACTTGAGAGCTACCCATTTATTTGATGAGGAGAATGGTGGCAGGGTACATTAACAAAAATGTCGACTGTAAAATATCGTCTTTCTAAAAATAAACTACGTGGGACCAGATTGGGTGCTTGCTGGTTTGAAATTTTTTGATTGGTCGATACATATATTTAATGTTTAAAATATACAATGTTTCAAAGTTTAAGTTATCTATAAAATGTAAAAATGATATACCTACCTCTAATATGTATAATATGTAAAAAAGCTCACGCTTACATTTAGTTTAAATTTTCCAATAAATTATTTATTTTAGTTTTTATGACCTACACTTTCTCACTGATGTCATATAGTGGTCTCCTTTGTACTTATAACTATTAACAGGCAAGGTTTTGAAAAAAATTACAGTAATATCCTATGTTTTATTCCTCAAAATCATTAGGTATTTTTTTTTGTACCTATTTAAAAAAACTTGAAAACCACACAAAAATTACCTGGTAATTATGTTTATTTTATGTTTGTGCTACTTTAAAATAATATGTTTTTCATTACTTTTGTCATGAACACGTCACACGCAACCGCCGTGACCATGCGATTTAAACAATTTTGATTTTAAAGAATTTAATATCATATAACCGATAGATTGACCGATAAACCAACATTTTACTAATTATTTTTATCTAGTTATAAAACAAAACATAACATTTTAATGAAGGGATATGGACTTTTATACTGATCGAAAATGCATTATTACTTATTAGCATATATATGTATTGTATATATTTATATTATATTATGTTAGGTACAATTATTATAGCCATGCCACTTGTCACTTGTCGATGCATTAATTATTTATATACGAATGCGATGGTTACAAAACGCCATAAAACTAAGCTGCTTTTGATCGACTTCAAAAAGAGGCTGTCAGAGAGGGTTGTACCTATAAAATTCAAGAGTCATAGTTCACACTATATACCTACGTACTATAGCGTATGTATAACATACACTTAACAGTGCTTTACCATATGGTCTATACCATACTAGATAATTACATAATTATGGAATACATATTACAGCCATACACAGGACCACAGGTAGGTACTAAGATACTATTGTGATAGATTCGTAGCCAACAAATCCATTCAATATAGTCGTATTATTCGCGGGAAATCTATGGTCATACAATATGTCAATAGTCAATACACCTAATAATTAATAGGTTAGATTAGTCACAATCATAATAGTGGATTACCATGTGATTTAGTATCAGAGGAGAGGGGGAACTAGAAGTTTGCAAAATACTTAGATTTCAAATCTGTTTAAGAAATGTAAAGAACTTGAAGAAAAGTACAAATATTATTATTTGATCGGGAAAATATATATTTTTTGGTTTTTCTAATATTCAAGAGAGAAAAAAAACTAAAAATATTTTTATTGTTACTTTTATAAATTCATAAGTATTTTAGTCAAAAAATGTTTATTTAAAATATATAAAAACAAAAAAATAAATCCGTAACTACCATTATTAATTAATGAATGATGTCTCCTGCAAATTTTTAAACGCGTCAATTTATCTAGCATTCTAGCCACACATATGCCAATCATTATAATATTGAAATTGTAATAGATATTAATGATATTATGTGTACTAAATTTTAAAAACCGAAATTTTTTTTAAATTAATTAGATTAACAGTCATATTTTATGATTTCATGTATACGATCATATATTCATATTATTCTCATACTTATAGGAGACTATCCACCATATATACATATATATAAATATATATTTTTTTATATTTTTGGAGGCTTAAATGTGCCATAATTGTAGGTAACTCAGAATACTACTACTGTCCATAATTGTTTATACATATAACAAAAAGTACCTAGCTACTATTAAGTATTATGTGGCCATAATATTATAATAATAGTAGGTACCTATATAATATGTAATATGACAATATCATATATCAAATTACACACATCTATCTACATTCTACGACAATCACACGTACGTTTTGTCTTAGTAAAACTATTGATAAAACAGTTGAAATAAAGGTTTTAATTAACGTTTATGCCTAATTGAACATTATATTACATTCAGGGATTACGTGCACGAACATGGTTTTCAAACTTTTTACACTTAACAATATTTTGTAGTTTTAATTTCTTGAGGAGACTAACTTTTTTACATTGTTCCATTTGTAGGCAAAAGCACCATGTATGCTAAAATAATGCAGATCACAATATTATTGAAACCTATTTATAATATGGTTTGGTCTATTTATTTTAAGAAAAACAGCTTCCTGATGTATGTATTTGTTTTATAGATGTTCTATGAATGTTTCAAAAATGTTGTCAAAAAAAAAAAATTACCGAAAAACTGAATTACAATATATATGCAGTACCAGTTTTTGACAAAATCGATTTTGTTATATTGTTATAATTTATTTAAAAATAAATGATCGTAGATTATAGCTAATAAATAAATTGTCATCAAGTATTATTATTTATCAAATATTTATCATAGCATATTCTAGATGGTTTTTAAAAAATATTTTGGCACTTTATGGTTTTATTTATAAATATTATGTATTTTTAACTTTTTTCAATTTTTGTTACTGGCGAATGGCCAAGTTTTTTTTCATTATTAATTTCAATTACCTAATTATAATAATTGGAATTATGTAACCCAATTACCAAATAATAATTTAAAGCAAATTATTAAGAATTCAGTATCTAAACTAAAGACCACTTCCTAATTGCAATTATTCGTGTACCACATATAATGTATACAGAATGTAATTATTATTTTGTTTAAGACATTGAATTTCACTGAATATTTTTTTTTAAATCAACTCAAATCGCATGTTATTACAACTTTTTCTTTACTAAAATATGGCTGTATTAATTTGTATAATATTTGAGCAGAAACTGGGTCGGTTTAATAATTTTAAATTCATAACACACCCTTTTTATTGCTTAGAACACGACATAATTTTTAGAAAATGCTGAATAACTTATCATGCTATTTCAAATAATTTCAATAATAGGTATTGTACATTACATTTTATATCAGAATGGCTAGAGAAGGAAAGAGAGAGAAAGAAAGAGTGGAGAAATTAAGTTGCCCCTTTTTTTTTATTTAGAACTTGAAGTAAAAACAACTTATGTTGTCCTTATAAATCCGAAAGATAATGAAACCCAGGCAAACATTTTATATAAGTCTTCAAATAAAAACTATAGGACTTGAGGGGTAGTTCTAGCGTCCTACAACGATCCCAACACAATAGACTATTATTTAAAATAATATCGTTGTTATTAAATTTATGATATTTTTTCACATCCGTATTTAGAGAGTAGCTCAGCTGGTCAAATGCTCTAACCGCCAAAAATAAAATAAGTAGTTTAAGTATGACTCACATATACATTTTTTAACAATTTACGAATTATGAGAAACAAGCAAAAGATCATTTTAGTGATGAAATGAATATAATTGAAAAATCAAAAAAATCGATAAATTCACCAGACACTAAATTTAAACGTCAACAAAAAATTAATGCATTTCTCGTTAATAAGTGATAACTAACAAACAGAGTTAGAAAAAAGAAAAGGAGCATAATATTATTCTTCAATAATTACTAAGTATTTGTATTTTTATTAAAATTGCATGAACATAGTGTTACTGAAATATATTCTCAATGATTTAGAGCAGTTATCTCCAACCTAAGGCCAGCGGGCCGGATCCGTCCCTCCAAGGTGTTTCAACGGCCCACCAAGCTAATTAATGTTTTGAAAATCATATACCTACACGTTTTCATCGTTTTTAAATTCTAATTAAACAAATCGAATTTATTATTTTTTCTTTCGGTACTTTTCGTAAGTTATGAATATAACAATTAAGTGAGCAACTTAAGTGAAATGACATAACCGTTAGGTATACCGATGTACTGTTATGTACACGTTCGACTAATTTATTCTGATAATGAGTTAAGTAGGATAAATCAGCAGTAAATGTAATATTATATTAAAATAATTTGAAAATGTAATTCACCCGATCATTATAAATTACAATATGTTATAGCATTCTACACAAGATACAATAATATCACTTATAATTATTATTAAACAGTAAACATGTTAGTGCTAAATTCAGTTTATTAAAAATACAACTATAAAATTGCCATTATGTGTCATAATATATACCTTATGGTATCGAACATGGTGACCAGTGATAGCAGTGTTGTGACCAGTAGAACCATTCTGCCAGGCACAACTTCGGGCATTACTACGAAGCTGCCCCAAGACATGATGACGAATAGCGTGCTTGGCAAGTAGCTCTCTAGCAGGTGACTTCTGAGTTCACGGCTGAGGGTGATCACCAGCCGGGCCGTGGAATGATTACCTACTCGAAAATATAATATTTTTATGACACAATTGATGTTGTATAGCTAAGTATACAGACTTCAGATATATTATACAAGAAACACAAGATTGAAGATACTAAATCACACTGTTAAGTTTCGTCAAAGTTAAATGGAAATCTATAATAATGATTATGAGTCGAAGTATGAAGTTAAAATTACTGCAAAATTTATTAACTGATATTCTATTAGAAATATGAATATAAATAACAAAGACGTAAAATATGTTATCGAATTTTAAATGTAACTAAAACAATATTTATTCAGTTTTTTGTTTTTCTCGTTAGGAAACAAAATGGGAACTCTGGTTATCCTGTTCAATTGTTTTAATCTATTATACCGACCCAGTTAGGTAAATATATTTTTAATTATTTAGGCTTATTAAAAATAAAGCTTGTAAATATACTTACTGTGTACATGATTAATAATTGTGTTTATAATAACATGCAGTACGCACCTAATATATTGTATACAGTATACTGTATATTTAAAAATAAGTTTACAAAATTAGTTCATTAAGTATACTTTGATTGAATTTTTCCGGCACTTCATTTAAGGTCATGTTTTTTTAAACTGTCCTAAATCCTAGAAGGTTAATATGATTTATAACACCATAAAACACTGTAATAGTCCTGTAGGATTAAACTGAAATTATCATTATTTTTTATTTTATCATCATTTACCGTACCATAAGGCGCCAAGTTCTTATACAATATATATGACTATATAAGTATATCAACTACACGTAACTATGCGGAAATACATGGGCGTGTGTAAACAACGTTTAGACTTACCATCGCCGTAATAAATCACATTCAAACGATTATCAGTGACAAACGATACAACGTAACGAGGCAATCGAAATCCATCTCCAAAGTCGCTGGGGAAAATCAGCGGATCGTCTCTCCAATGGAATTTCATGTCCTTCAGCGTGTATTTGTCTAACAGCAGTCAAACAGGAAATCCGAAAAAAAAACACAAAGACAAATTATACACAATATGAGGTAATAATTTTTGTGGTGTCAAAAACTGAAAGTGTCATCAGGCTGATAAAAAAAAATACGTGTACTCGGATTTTTAAAGCATTTTCCATTATTTGTATTATTTTCAGTTATATAATATTATACAATATACTATGAAAGTGCACAGGGTTGCCGTAATTTTTGGTTTTGGAAAAAAAGTGTTTATAGTATTAAAGTACAGCAAGTACATTTATACCTACTTTATTAAAATAAACAAAAATAAATGCTAACAAGTTATTGGTAATAACAAATAAATACCAATTAAGATGGCACCAGAAATGGACATCGTAATGTACTAAACTGAATCACATCAAACATAACACTGACAATGGGACGTTCCCTATCGAAATACCCAGGCAATTTGAAGTTATCTTAACAAGAATCAGAATCCGACACTCTCAAATCTCACACAGTTTCTAATGGCCAAGATAGAACCCCAAATATGTACAGCCTGTGGTGTCCAAGTCACCATCAACCACATTCTCACTGAATGCCGAATATACCACAACCTGCCCGAATCACTAGCCGAAATACTCCACAATCACTCTCAATCTATAACCAACATCATCTAACTCATCAGAGCCGCCAATCAAAAACTCAATGGCTCGTATTGCCAAGGGTCTGTATTATCAAAAAATAAAATAAAATACAAAATAAATAGAATGTCTATATTATAAATGTCTGTTCAATTTAATACTGCAAATAAAAACTAATACCGACAACGACATTATTCTTAAATATTAATAAAGCCAAAGAGCAATCGTATATACATTGTCTGATAAAAATGATACCAATAACAATTTATTTAATATTATTATAGGTACTAATATTATAATAGTGATCATATAAATAATTTATTATTTTATTTGTAAAAAAATAATTTATTTAAAATTATAGTTAGGCAAGTAATAGATGCACCCTCATGAAAGTATTTATAAAAACAGATGGTTAATGATGAAATTGATGAAATTATTTATTTATTTTTCTATCAGTTTTGTCGCCCACTATTATATATAGAGGCATAGAGCCAGTATAAAGAGACAGTATAGCAGTAAACTTACTTTGTTCTATTATATGAATAAAAACCGCTACCTATTAAGTATTAACTGTCATCTATCGATGTGGATCTGTTGCATAAGCGGAAATCCATTAAAACTTCAGAGGTTTTGTTTATTTACAATAATGAGAGCGGGAGGCTTTGATTCCATATACGATATACATTTAAATGTTATCTGGTTATAATTTTTTTTTTTTTTTGGGGGGGGGGAGGAGGGATTTCCGCAAATTAATAAAAAAACAAAAAATTAATAAAAACTTGTTTACAGCTGCCGAAGTCTACAGCGCAAGTCTGTACGTCCAACGGATAGAGTACAAAGTCCATGTCACATTTGATTATTATGGTTGCTCTGCAGAATACAATACAACACACGTACATATATATATATATATTATAAATACATGCACATATAAGAGACTCGGTGGCTACTATTTCGTATACCGTTCGTGCCCGTTACCCAATGCTAATCCGGAGTGTGCTGTTGTCGTACAGCCGTATCGATGCCAAGTCCTGGAACAGTGTAAGCACCTTCATCTCCCTCAATTGTCTGATGTACAGGTCAGGAATCCAGAATTTCGGGTCCTTGTCCCAGGTCAGCTCAACCTGGCTCGCGTTTCCCAAAATCCAGATCCTGGGGTCTTCCCAGTACACGTGCAAAAATACATCCAGAGCTATTTCCTGAAAAATACTTACTATAATAGTCCCCATGAAATCAGACGCAATAATACACAATCGATATTTTAGGCACTGGGCGATTTACCAAACATATTATACTAGCGAACTCATGTTTAATTATAAATGCATTTATTAAAATTGTTGAATGTGTACTCGTGTCTCGTACAATAGATACTAGAGTATGTGTACTATCAATGCATATACTCATATAAAGACCATATTACCAAGCATAATAAAATAAATATAATAAGTAATTGTTGTATTTCGTAAAATGTTTACCTCTTTGCTCTCGTCTACGCCAGATATTCGATTAATGTGCAATGATAGAGATACGTCTACGTCTTTGCCTACAAGAAGAAAAGCAATAAGATAATAATACAACATCCTTTAATTTAGTAGATAAATAGGATTAGGAGAAAATAAATCAACAAAAATATCAATCTTTAAATTTAGGTACCGTCTTGGTGCTAGGACATTGTACGGGGTGTTCGGATAGTTTTCTAACTTCCCATTGTCGCGGGTACTGCACTGCACAGTATTGCAATAAGAAGTGAGTGCGTATTAAAAAATATGTATAACTTTTTTAGTACACTTAAACTATCCGCGCTCGTAACATTTATTTGAATAATTTTTATTCAAAATTTGAATATTTTTCTATTTGAAATTTAAAGTCATCTAATAATAAGTGAGTAGGTGTCGAAGTTGTGTATCAGGTTGACGGTGACTATAATATATAATATTATAAATTATAATTAATAGAACATGTGGTCATGGTCGGTATCGGTATTATAAATCCATGCAGGACATAGAAAGTTAGATAGAAAGTAGTATGTGAAATAGTGAACACTTACTGTATGTCTGTATTAGTACAGTATTTTTACTTACTATATTACTCTTTCGTAATTTAATATTGTATTAAGTACTAGATAATAAATTATATATTCTGGAGAAAAATAGTTTTTTGCATGTCTTGTTGCGTTTGCGTTAAATATTAAAACAAAATAAATGTTTAGTTATTGTTATACTATGCATGTTTATATCAGAATCTCTACGAGATTGAAAGATATATATTTTCTAAATTTAAATATTTGTTAACTGAATTATTTATGCGCACGAGTTGAGCAACAATGATAAGTCGTCTTACACTATAGCCTGCAAGTGACCATAAAATAATTTTATTGGAAGTAATGGCATAAAATATTTTTACACTTAGAAGAATTGTACCTAACTATAATTTCAATTTATTTTATTTTATTGAGAAATAACCTATGTGCGTAATATGAATTATTATAGCATTTTAAATTTTAAAGAACAGTTCTCCTACGAATTTTCACTTAAGATAGTCGCAATTTTGCCTTTGAAAAGAAGTTTAGTACCTTAGTATCTAAAATAGTATAATCTTATTCCTAAGAAATATTATTATACAATTTAATATTTTTTAAACGCTTAATTTCATAAAAGATTATACTGTACATATTGATATATGTATTTAATAATATAAAATAGTAAAATAAGTGTATAAATAGTGTACCCTTGAATCAATTATTAAATTATTTTAATCATGATTTTTTACGGTTCATCAAGATACTTAAGAATGTACATACTTATACTATACATTTTAAATGTGCATTACATGCAGCTATACTAAGATTTTAAAAGCAAGCCACTCATTTTTACCAGCAACACTTTTTTAGTAGTGTACACGAAAAGCAGTAAAAAAATCTCAAAGTTGAAAATTTGAGAGTGTTTTCTGGTATAAAATTAGATGTAGTTGGTATTTTCGAGGAACAAGAATTGAAGGTTCATATAGTACATTTTAAAATAATTTTTAAAAACAAAAAAAAATTAAAGAAAAGGGAATTTGTATGTATAGTCAGTTGTTGAAAACTGTAGATTATCGAAATTTTGACCAAATGTTTATCATATAAATTTCTACACACTACACATTTTTTGAAAACAATACCTCTCTTTGAGTTATTTATAGACATTTGAAGTTTTAAGTTTTGTTCAATAATTTATTAATATTGTAAAATATACTTAGTAATAAACACTGGCTGTCAGTCTTATCCTATAGAATCTCAGCTGATAAAGTGTATGCCTTATCAAATTTACATTTATACTCAGTCAATTGTCTATACGCTTAAGAATTGTGTTTTACTTTGCATAGGTTTTAGTGGTTGAACCCATGGGTGGTAAGCTATTTTTGGCCTACCGGGAAATTTTAAAAATGTTCCCCTACATGAAAAAAATGTAGCTCGCACTAGGGGTACATTATTAGATAAACTATACTGCCAAAATGAAACAGATTTTTAAATCATTAATTACATTTTTTATTTTAAAGCAATAACATTCTATCAAATACTGGTTTTTAGTACCTATGTAATTCCTAAGCTATTAATAATTTCTTCAGAACAATTTCGTCGAGAATATCGTTCTCGACATTCATTAATAACATACCCTAATACAATTTTGTTCTATAATAGTATTTCTTGATTAATTTTTGACGATTTTTAATTTAGAAAATGTACGTTCACTTTCTACTTGAGTAGATTCTATAGTACCGCCCACAAATGCTTTATAGCATTACAAATTTGCGATGTTTAGTTTATATTATTCTAAAAATAGTATAACAACATATTTGTGGGTTAGTATGAGGTGGTTAATACTCAGTGCAACCGTGGTCCGTACTCCGTGACCACTACCCGTCATCAACCATTAAACGACGTTGTAGTTGATGGCAACGCGGCGGCTGCGGGCCGAAATCTTTTGTAAAATACCTCAAAATAGATATAACTGTATAAGATTAGGTTAGATATTGATTGGACCATTACAATAGATATTATTTTACATTTCTTATTTATATTGTTATTGTATAATACTAACGAATCATTGCGTCAAACTATATAAATGGCCCCATCTCCGAGATACGGAGGGTGGCCCACCGAGAAATGTGTAGAATATTAGATGTTTTACTATTGATGAATCATTGAATATTAGATACTATTTTTACCTTCACAAGTATAAAATTATATTTAATTGCATTATTACCACTTTTGGGATGAGTCTACGGCAATTGAAATAGATTTCCTATTAATATATTTTTGGTATAAGAGTAGACTAAAATACATTAATGTAATTTTGAATACTTAAAAGCTTTTTAAATATTATCAGAATTAGTTGTACTTCTTATAACTATTTTTAGTAGGACGCCAATTTTCAAATTGTATTTTCTCTTTATAATCTAAAGCATTCTTGTTTGAAGTATAAATAAATAATATCAGCTTATTTTCATAACATCATTTGTATCCATAGGCCGCACAATCAAAACAAAAAATTCTAAAAGGAAATTAAGATAATAAGATATTATTGGGATTTTGGAGATCCATCTCACTCAGCTCAAAAACCAGGGGCGTTTCCAAGTAAATTCCGTGGCCGGGGGGGGGGGATTACTCTTGAATACCACTTTAGTCAACGAATAAGATTAAGACCTATATGTTTGATGTAATATTGAACAAAGGCTGCAAAACAATACAACATTTAAAAGTTAAAATTATTCTTTCACATTAGATCCATAATTAATTTTAATAATATGAATAATAATTAATAATTGATATAGAAATAAGTTATATAACAAATTCTAAAACTATTTTATTGGAAGCAGCAAAACGATCAATAATATGCTGTCTATATTGATCATTTCATTTCAGTGTATATTAAAAAGCGCAAACCCAGTCAGCTTCTCCTCACTCATTCGGCTTCTTAACTAACTTTTTAATCTAATAAACAATATACCAAAGCAATAATAAGCAAAAGTGTTAGCAGAAGTAATAAGCAAAAATAATTTATTTACTTAAGTACTTGAGTGTTTAAGTTTGTGCATTAAATACATCTATTAGTAAATTATTGATTTACTGCAATCAAAATTAAAGTATAGTAATAAAAGAGAAGTTAAGCTGTTAGTATTTTTAAGTATAAGTAAAAACTAAAAATTTAAGTGAACATATTATATACTTAATAAAAATAAAAATAGTGTGTTGAAAAAAGTCCATAGTTTAATAAAGTTATTAAATAAGATATATATGCCAACAGAAATGTAAAAACAAATTCAAATATAAAAAAAATTATTGGGAGCGTTCGTGCACTCCCCGCCCCTCAGGGATGATTTTGTCAAAAAATAACGCTTAATGAAATTAATTTCAGACCTTGCCCATGCATATACTATCTAACATTTAAAATGCTATTAAGAAGCCATTTTTTTTTTTGTTTGACCACTAAAATTCATGAAAAAATACTTGGTGGATATTAAGTGTTTTTAAAAAAAGTTAATAGGTATACTGTGCATGATGGAAACTTAAGTAGGCATAGGTGATTGGGCAAGTTTGCTACAGGGGTAAGTACCAAGTATTGATATACATCAACTAAAAGTTATACAGTGTATGTTCTCCACAACGCAACACCGCCAATGCATCAATTGTATTATCCATTTTCACTTATAAAACTTAAAATGTGTGTTTTAAATACCACTATATCAGTGGTTCCTAACCTCTCCTATTCCACGCTCCCTTTTGTAGATTTTCAAAAATCTTGCCCCCCCTCCTATAAATTGTGAAAAAATCGATCATCTTTTTTGGTATACTTTACATGTAAGCTATATATACAATATTTAATCAATAAAAATTGTATTTCGTAATAACTGCTTGCGCCTCCCCAGCAATGTGTACACGCCCCCCAGTTTGGGAACCAGTGCACTATATGGTATCAATAAAATTAATTTGTTCAAAGTAATTGATTATGTGGTTAGTTGAAACAGACATTTGTTTTGTTTTTTATTTTTGCATGTGTAAAAAATTAGACGAGACTGTTACCATTCAACGGTTCGGCTTAGGTGTAATTTATTATATTTAGGTCAAGGTTGTGGTGACTGGTGAGTATATGTGACTGTGAAATTAGAAAAATTGTACGTTGAAAAATAACCTGGAAGACTATTTTTGTTGTATTCAGTTTCCATTTCATAAAAATCCTTTGAACGCACCAAATGAAACATTCTGAAAAAAAAAATGTCAATCTAATATTCTATACATTAACCTACTTTCTGTCATGTACAGGATGTTTTCCAGCTAATATATAGTAATACTATTCTAAACTTAATGGTATATATAATATATCAGGGATGGACAAATCAAAGTTACTATAGAGGCCCAATTTCAGAAAATTTAAATCTAAAGGGCCAGAGCATAGAAAGCAAAAAGAGTCATTCAAAATATAAATTTTAATTAGAATTTATTTTGTTTATAATGTAATTTAAAAATGTAGTTCGGCTTAGATAAAAAAAACCTGCGGGCAGCCAGTTGCCCAATTCTTGTATATATTATGAAAACGCGATATTGGATTTGGATATTATGAAAACGCGGTGACCCATCCCGGCCATCCCTTATATTATACTTGGATATACCTCTGCATGTCTACTTATCTGCTGCGAATTACAGTTTTGATGTTATACTCAACGTAATGATCGAATAACATCATAGTATCTTATTGTGCCATAACTTTTAAATTAAACTATTTGTACAGGGCCATCGACAAGAGAGAGGGGACGTTAGGGGGTCTACTAAAAAATGACATGAAGGCTAGGTACTAACATATTATTTTAAGTTAGTTTATTTTGGTAATTTTTTACAATGATGACCCCTCCCCCTCCTACATGGCCACATCATATTAAATTCCTGTCTATGGCACCTATAATGGTAGTATATCTGGAGACTTTACACACAAGTATCATACACAGTGTATGATACACTTTAAAGTATACAGTACACTAACCACTAGTACCTACCTTTATATGCTACGTATACATTAGAATATATAGTCCAATAACTTAATGTTGTAAAGAAATAATGAAATTGTCTTACGCGACTAATGATAAGGAAGCACTCGGTCTCATATTGTGCAGTGGACCACGGCAAACAATACAATCTCAAAAAACTATTCGTTGTTACTTTACTCTTTTGTACGCGTTGTCGGTTGGTATTCATATGATATTCGTATTTATATATCGCACGGTTATCTCGTTTGTACAGTTATATTTATATATATAAAAATATAACGACGACGATTCGCCAAAATCGAGAGCAAAACACATACACCGTCCAAATGTATTCATGGGGCGATTTCGTAAGCAGCTAGTAAACACCACGAACGCCACTGTTTTTGCAGTACACGGCACTAAGGGAGGTATATTAAGGTGTATGTATATGGACTTTGAAAGGTTTCCTAAGTCTCGTGCAAAAACCGTTTGTTGATCGCGTGACTTATTTGAACGCGAATTTCACCGCTGGCCAACCAAAAATGCACTAGCGCCAACGGTATGCAATATACGTTATACATATATATTTATGTACGTTTACTAAAGCAGCTACAGGAGACCTTTGCACCTCATGCCTATGTACATAATATACATGCACGTGTATTAATATGTACGTATATATATATACTTAAATTATACATTTTACACACACCGTGACCTTATTATAATATAATCCGTCTACGATATACTCAATGCTATTACGTTTGCTATTATTATGTCATACCTCAAATGCGTTGTGCCATGATTATATTGTTTGTTTACATGATGTGCCGTAACGGAGAACATAATATTTAAATTTAATATACGCCATCGTCCGTCACAATATTCCAGCAGTATGTTTATACAGTTATACATTCGATGTGGCTGCTGGAGTTGGATGGCACATACGACAAAATAGACGTTCTAATAAGTACGTACATGCGGCGATGTTAAATAGTATCATTTTAGTGTCACCTCAGTAAATAATATTGCTCCGCTGGCCTGACCGTTCTTTATTTAGTTGCTAAAGTATATTATTCCTATACAATATAATAATATTAAATTAAGCAATTATATTGAAGACTGTCTACAATATATGTCAGACACTATACCTACATTTATAATATTATTATGTATCGAAAAATAACCTTACTGGCTGTTAAAGGTTAGGTACGACATAAAATAAGTTAATAGAAAAAAGTATCTATTAGAAGCGAAATTCGAAATTAAAATATAGACAACAATATTTATATAGTCATACAAAAAATCTTTGACTGTTTATTTTTATAATTTTTATACATGTGTAAGAACTATACACAAATTATTTATTACTAATAATAAATTATTAGTTACTGTTATGGCATATATAATGTAAATATACATTTTTTTTTAAAATAATTTTTTATAATATTAATAAATTTACAATCTGTAATAAAATAAAACAATAAGTAAATGTGAGATTTTTACAAGGTTTGGAGGCTTGACTGAAGGGTGCGTCCATTGACACTACTTCAAACTGGTTTTTTTTTTTTTTGTAATTATTTAGCGAAGTAAATTACAAGGCCAATTTCGTTTTAGTCGACGGGGAGAGTTATCCGGGAGAGTCTTAGAGGAGAGGTTAGAAATTAGAGGGTTTGGAGGATTATTTGTTTTGGAATTCCAAAGTAATATTGATAGCGGGTGACTAATATTTTGAGATCTATTTATCATTGCTTATAAGTTTATTTATGACTGTGGTTAAAAGAGAGATAAGAGGATTTATTATTGCTTTGAAATCACCAAGAAATGAGGATAATTTTTGGGTAAAATGATCTATGTGAGCAAAGGAAGGGATGTTAAGACTGATTGTTTTTGTTTTCATTGGTAGTATTGGTTGCTTGGGCATAGGTTTTTTTTTCCGAATCAGTAGGTAGTTAAGTTTGAAGTAGTGTTTACATTATTTAAATTAACATTAATATTTTTGGAACCAGGGTTTTTTTTGGATATGATAAGTTTTTCTTTTTGATTGTTGAGTTGATTGAAATTCTTTATGAATCGGGCATCCTCTATAGTTGGCTGGGTGGTTGCCTTCGCATAAGGCGCATTTTTCTGGGATACTTTTAGATTTTTGGCAGGTGTCAGAGAGATGATTTTCTCCACAATGGACGCATTTTGTAGGGTGGTAGCAATAAGATTTGGTGTGCCCAAAACCTTGACATCGAAGGCATTAAATAGTTTGGTGGTTGAAACGAGGCTTTTCAACCTTAATTTTGGTGTAGTGTATAAATTCGATTTTAAATATGTCTTTGTTGTTTAATGCGGGCTCTAAGTCGATAAAAAATATTGGTAGTGGCAGTTGAGTTGTGCGTTGTAGAACATTAGTGATGTTTCTAGCAGATAAATATACATTATATAAAAAAATGTTTTTGTTATTTTACATTAATATATACACAGAGTTATAGGTGCAGAGGCGGCTTGGGGAGCTTAACCCCTCCCCCCATATTAATGATCAGAGTTATGCTGCTGATACATTTCTAGCCCCTCTAGTTGCGCCCATGTAACACAATCAGTACTTTTTAGCACAATTAGCACTATCATGTGATGATAAAATGAAGTTTACATGTATGTTTAGAGTAAGAAGCCACCCATACGTGTACTCTTAACGTGATACGTAAAAAAACATTAATTAACTGTAAAAAGTATATTTTATAAATTATATTAATAGGTACATTTTAGTAAATAATTACTTGTATAAGTGGGAAAAGTAAGTACCTACATGCAAAGAATATAGATTTTAATTTGTAATAATTAATAACAGGCTCATAAATACGAAAATTACAATAATTACAATAAAATATAATAATTGAGCATGACGCTATTACAATATAACTTAAGACTATATACCATACTATAGACTATAAAGTAATATAGTTTTAATTTTCTGTAAACAAAAATCACATAACTATGTATTTACATATTGCAGTAGATATTACAGTGACATAAAATTGAATATTAAAATAATCAATATACTAATTGTTGGAACTCAAAATACCTGCTTAAAAATTACAAAAATTACATTCTAATTCAATAACGCATAAAAACAAAAAACAAATGAATTCTTACAAATTAAGTTTTCTTTGATCATTCAATAATAACATTAAATCATTATAAGCTTTAATAGAACAATCGTTATTCTCTAAAAAATAAATAAGACGACCTTTAAGGAGTCTATATAGTTGTCTAATATCACATAAGAGTATAATACACTTCGATAATTTTACGTTGTGTGAGTTATTAAAGAATCAAAATAAGATTTTTTTAAATATGTCAAACAAATTACATTTCCTATTTTTGACATATTATATTTATTTAAAAATCATCATTAAAAAATATAAAATGTCTTACTTACTGTTTTCATCATATGACAAACTTATAAATGAACCTACGAATCCACAAATTAGGTTTCTATGACTTGTATCATTGGTTACTGAAACTAATTATTCATAATATTCTTTCCATACAGATACAGTCTTTACTTAGGACATAAATATGCATAACAGGTGTAAAAGTAGACTTTAAGTTCAATGTTTATTTGTTTGTTTGAGTAAAATATAACCTTCATTACAATATTCAATATTGTATGTGATCGGATAACCGATTCATATTTATTAAATCAAATTACAAACAATATATTTTATTTTTCCAGTTATGACAATTTTGACAATCCATAATTCATACCATTCAAAATAAAAATATTAATCATACATACATGTTTTTATGCAATTTATCAATAATAATATAATTTATTTATATAGTATATAAACAATTTGGACCATTTAATTTTAAAAATATTCTACCCACTAAGTAGTACCTTCTAATAATTCATTTTTTTCAAAATCAATGGCTTCAAAAACTTAATATTTTATTGCAATAAATTATGTACTGTAAGATTTGAATTTAATTTTGGTAAATTTTAACCCATGGCAAAAGTTTATCTTTTTAAACATAGTTTAAATTAAGTGGAGTACATTGAAGTTGAGCATTTTTATTGTTTTAGATCGAATAACCCATATGAACGAATAATAACTCTCATAATTTTAAATTGATGGATTCAATGAATATATTTCTACAGCTTCGATCAAAAAAAAAACAAATCAAATATTTATACATACCTAAATGAGGTCATGATGTACGCTAATGTGTCTATTTTGAAGTAAGAAGTTACTCTTAGGTATATGAACTATTAAACTTATACACTAAATCACAAAATCTGCAATATTTATTATTTCATCCTAATCCTAATCGATGAGTACGAATTATTTAATCTATGTGAATTATACAATTATTACCTAATAATAACAAGTAGGAATCAAATATTTATTTCAAAATGAAGATTGGACTCATTACAAAGTTATATCTATATAATATTGTTTATCCCTAGTTAAGTATATGCTATATTTTCCCTGTTCGAAGACTTAAACGCTGTAAAATTTAGTGGATTATTGCAAAGCCCCTCTCGTATTTTATGCATTTCGCGCTAAGGAATAAAATATGTTTATGTATATGTTTAGTCTATATGGTTTACAAATTACAATCAATCATTTAAAACATAATATATTTGTAATCATTTAATCAATGCAATTTAGTGTAAATAACAAATTCGCTTTTTATATCTATAAAACAATCATTTAACTTTTAATGATCATTTGAACACTATTCCTCAACACGCCACAGCAGCAGAACAACATCCTAAAAAACTATTTAGTACGACTTAAAAAGGTTCGGCGACTATGTTTATTGTTTTGTTACCATCAGGTCCTCTACTTCAGAATCTGTATCTTGTAGCGAGTCCAGACAATCGAGCGGCGGCACCTCCAAGTCGAGTTGGGTCTGCTGAGTTTTTGACACTACGATGAGAACATACGAATCGGACGCGACTTTTTTATCCGTTTCCGAAGTCATCAGGTTAGGCATCGAAGAGTACAAGCTTGAGAGTCTACTCGTGGCCACGACTTCATAATACCGCCTCGTGCAGGCGTCATTCAAATACATTGGGTTCAGCGAAGTCGAAGACATGAGTATAATACAAACTTGAAGTTATAATGTAAAATTATAATTGGTTTGTTATATAGAAAATGTCTGTCAAAATCTTTCAATAATATAACAACTGGGAGATGAAAGACAAATAAATGTTTCAATAGTAGCTGGCCATTTTCATAGAAACCATTTTAATATTATATTTGTATATGTTTACTATATTACACCTGGAATACAATATAATTCAAATTTCACAAGTAAATAAAAGAATTCCAAAAATTAAAATCGTTAATGTACAATATTATGATTTACCAAGAATGCTTACTACCCCTAAACATGTTTTTTTTGACAATTGACATTTATATTTATAGTATTGGCTAGTTTTGGAAGGTAAACATTTTTTTTATCGATGTTAATTTACAAAAAAATAATAACAATCAAAAATGTT